GCGGCCTATAAGATTTTCGGTAACTGAAATCGTACCGGCTAGTAGCCCTATTAAATACCCTCAGTAAGATCCTAGAGTCTATTATCGCTATATATATTATGTAGGTAGTAAAAGAATATAGACTACTACTAAAGACCTACCTTAGTAGTAGGAAGGGTATCTTAATAGATTATATAATCTAACTAATCCTCGATAGGGTACACTATATATAGGGGCGAGGCAAGAAGGTATTAATACTACTACTTAACGTAGCGGGTACCTATAATAACGTCTCCTATAAATAGTTATTAAGTAATATTAAACAGCTCCGGCTAGGCTAATTTATACCTTAGATTACTTTATTTCTTAATAACAGGAGTACCTATATTAAGCTTCTAGGATATCTCTTAGATAGCTTCCTTATACCTACCGGTATCCTACAGGGCTTACTAATCTCGCCTATCCTATTCCTATTATTTAACTCGCTACTACTATCTATATACAGTACTAATAGGAGGATAGGAGAGGCTAAATCCTGTAATATCGGGTAGGTAAATAACGTAGTAATCCTAATAAAATCGGAATTATACTACTCGAACGTCTAGGCGATAGAATAGGTGCTTAAGAAAGCTAATTGTCGACATGAGTGGGTGCATAAGCCCATGCTATCGAACTTGACAGAATGCGACGGAACGTCCACGTGACGATGATCTTCAACGATTGACATCAACAACTTGCACACATGACGAAAGAGCTTCAACACTCTATTTCTTCTGATTTCTATGAGATTCTAGTCTGACGTATTGCCTTGATTTCATAAAGTTATAAATTCTGCCTGTTTTCCATAGCTAGTTGAATCAAGTTTAATGATTGTGATGAAGTTGGAGCATTCTTCTATCATAAGTTAACTTCCGATTCTGAGCCGAATCGTACGACCCTTTCGACCTGACCTATACGATTCTTCGCCAATCGTATACTGATTTAACCAACCGTGCACACTCGCTTGCTTGTGCACGCCGAAGGATTTATGCTGACCTCGTAAATCCGACACTAATTAATAGGCTAGGTAGTATATAGCAAAGTTCGTACCTAATAAATTCGAACTTATCTATTTCAATAACCCTTAACAAGGCGATATCACTAATTAATATAATAACTAAGAAAGTAACTAGGGGAATAGTAACACTATCGATATATACGACTTCGATAGCGTATACCCTTAGGGCAACGACTAGATACCTATTAGAATCAACGACGAATTACTAATACAACCGAAAGAAGCCGCGAAATATCTAGGTGTTTAGCTCAATAAATACCTTGATTTTACTACCTACTATCAAAAGCTACTTACGAAGGCTAACAGCACCCTCAAAGCCCTTCGGGCGATAACAGGGTTAATATAAGGTGCCTTACTCGCAGCGATACGAAAGGTCTACTAAGCGGTAGTAGTGCTATAGATACTTTACGGGATATCTGCGTAGTACTACCCTACAGCTAGATCTTTACCCGCGTGGGAGATAAAACGTACAGTTAACGAATTTACTAAGGTTCAACGACGTATAGCGATTCTTATTAGCGGCGCCTTTAAATCTACTAGTACAGCAGCACTTAATGTAGAGCTCTTTATTATACTAATACACCTACTTATAGACCAATTTATCTAGGAAACAGCAATACAAATCTAAATAGGAGCTACGTAGGCTTAGCTAGACTCCCTTTGCTGTGCCCCCTGATCCTTACAGGAGCGTAAGAAAGGTAGATAGAGCCCTCTCGAAGCCCTTAGATAGAAGAAAGACGGTATCCTCGACCTAAAAGGAAACGTGTAGGAATCGCGTAAAGCGTTCGTTCTAGCGCTATAGGAGGCACAGATCCTATACGTTATCGACAAGGATACAGAGGCTGCGTAGGCCTTGTATAACAAAATTAAGATAGAATCTCTTTAATAAGCCGCACTAGACCGAACCCCGACAGTCTTATTCTTTATAGATAGAAGTAGGTATAAAGGCTAGGTCGCCGCTTTAGCTATTGCCCTACGTAAGGGCGTCTTTTAACAGCGATATCTTAGAACTAGCGAGGAATCTACAGTATACGTTGCTAAGCTTAATAGTATTGAAATAGCGATTACTAACCTCTCTAACCGGCTAGAAGGCTAAAGACCTACGAAGATAGTGATTTTCTCTAACTGCTAGGCCGCTATCTAGGCAGTGCAAAACCTAAAGCGATTGTCAGGCTAGTTTGTGCTAAGTACTATCTATAACTACGTCCGGGCCCTCCGATCGTAAACGCCTACGTTCGATCAGATTCCTATCGAGATCCGCTAGATCCCTGTATACGTAGGCGTTCCTAGCAATAAGACTGCCGACGTTAAAGCAAAGTTAGTAGTAACCGGAGGTATAGTAGGGTATAGGTCGGATTAACCTTACACCGGTGATTCGGTAGGCAGTAGATCCCCTAGCGGTCGAGTCCTTCTAGTAACGACCGCAAAGCGCTAAGTGCGGCGGCGTATCAAAGAGAGATAGGCGTAAGAGTAGGCAAAGGAGCGAACTAGCAAGCCGAATCAGCGATTGATAAAGGTTCTAGACAAGAAGGTTCTTCGGCTATTCGATTCCCTGTCGAAGCCTTACACTTCGATCTTGATTCAGATGCGATCGATGCGCATTGCACTGAACTATTTCTTGTTCAAAATTAAGGTAGTCGAATTAGATAAGTGTTACTGTAGAGAAGGGTCTTAAACCCCGAGACATATCTTAATACAGTGCCCGTTGTACGCTAATTTGAGGCAGACCTTCCTTGATAAGATCCGGATAACCGATCTTAGGGATTCGACGGATTATAATACAATCGTATCACACTCGCAGGCCACCCGCTACGTGGCCGAATTCATGCTTCAAACAGGCCTACTAGGACAGTTCCGGCACGTCGAAATCGAGCCAGAGCCCCCGCAGGGCGAAGGAAACGATCCGCTAGGATGATCTGGCGACGGCACAGGGGGTGAAGACGCTAGGTAGGAGGAACGCTAAACCCACGGCCACCGAGAGGTCGTGGAAGAATACATCCAACAAGTCAACACGCCAGTCGACGACGAACGCCACCAATTAAGAACGAAGCAGAAGAGATACCGGGGATGGAGGTGCAGAGGAAGCGGCAGGCCAATGTGAGGGCGAATTGAGAGATATATCGTGGGACTGAGGGCTTGGAGGGCGTTTTGATACTGTTTTGGACTGACTTTTGGGCTACTTTACTTGGCAATACGCCGTTTTCCTTTGTATTTACTGTTTCATGCGCGGGTCTGGCGTTCGGATCACTCTTGCTTCCGCCGGAGGGAGCGCCTGCATAGCCATTACGCCACTAGTTAGGCTGCAACAGGTTAATAGAGTGTTGATTGATTGATTGATTGATTGATAGGGGAAATATCTCAATTATTGATTTACTTCAAGGGCGACTGACGATCAGGTTCTACAAGATTGAAGAAATGTAGAAATGTTCTACCTCTTTGCGTTTGATAATTTCAACATTATAAGGGCGGAAATTATTTGCGAGGAATGTAGGTCTGAACTACAGTGTGTCCTCCCCCACTTATGATCCAGAATTTTCTATCAGAGAATTTAATTTTCCTTCTCGATGTGTGAAAAGGGAGGATATGTCCCGACAATTCAAAAGTTGGGCGAAAGCGAGCAAAAGTTAGTGAAAACAACCATCAATCAATCAATCAATCAACACTCTATTAACCTGCTGCAGCCTAACTAGTGGCGTAATGGCTATGCAGGTGCTTCCTCCGGCGGAAGCAAGAGTGACCCGAACGCCAGCCCACGCGCATGAAACAGTAAATACGAAGGAAAACGGCGTCTTGCCATATAAAATCAGCCCAAAAACAGTACTAAACCGCCCGTGATGCTCTCAATCCTACAGTATATCCTTCAATTTGCCCTCACAATAGCCCGCTGCTTTCCCTGCATCTCCATCTCTGCTATCCCTCTCCGGCATCTTTATCCTCCTGCTTCGTTCTCGATTAGTGGCGTTCGTTGTCGACTGGCGTGATGACGTGTTGGATATATTCGTCCACGACCTCTCGGTAGGCCGTGGATTTTGCGTTCCGTATACACAGCGTCTGCACTACCTACGCCTGCTAGTCTATCCTGGCTTATCGTTCTTGTCGCCTCCTTCGGGTAGCTCTGGCTCGATCTCGACGTGCCGGAACTAACCTAGGAAGCCTATTTAGAGCATAAATTCGGCCACGTAGCGGGTGGCCTACGAGTACAATACAATTGTATCGTAATCCGTCGAATCCCTAAGATCGGTCATCCGGACCTTACCAAGGAAGGTTTTCCTCAGATCAGCGTACAACGGGCACTATATCAAGCTATACCTCGATGTTTAAGACCCTTCTCAATAGTAACACTTATCTAATTCAACCGACTTAATTTGTACAGGAAATAATTCAGTACGATAACCTCATAGTACTTATATAACCTAACTGTCGGATTTTAGACAGGGTGCACAAAATCCTTGTGTGTACACAGAAGCGACTCACTATATTGGCCACCATGGAAGGCGATAACGGTCGCCACTATACCGAATTAAGAATATTTTTATGTTTTGTACATCATTCTACACCGAATTGATATCATTGTTTTCAAACTTGATCTTACACGTAGTCATCTCGGATATTGACATCTAAATCCACTAGATATCATTCAATGCCCTGTCATTCTATACATATTAAAGTTACAGTCACGGCTGGTATTGCCATCCATGTCGGAAAATAGAGAAATATTGCTTCAAATCCTGATCACATGATACAACAAACCATACATAGGTGCGTCCATTTCTGAAAGTTGGTCCAGGTTTGCAAGGTGACGGATGAAAGTGTAAAACTGTATGTATAGTCATGTACCGTTACATATCCAAAAAAAACCATCCCATCCACCATGGCGTCGTCTGTCCACTCCGAGAATGACTAAGTCGTATATATACATGTCGGATTAGAACTTCCTTTTTCCCCCAGAACATAATGCACTTTGTCATGGCTTACACCGCTCCAGCAGAGCGCGTATATCCTGTCGCTTGATCGGCTTGGTGAGAAAGGTGTCGATTCCAGAAGCAAACGCCTCCTGCTGCGCAGCCGCACTGTCCAATCCTGTTAACGCGATGATTGATGTCGGGTACCATCGTGGCTTTGAGGAAGATTTCTTGTCAAAGTGCTCCCGCTCGAACTGGCGGATCGTGCGGCTGGCTTTAAAACCGTTCATTATCGGCATTGAGATATCTGAATTGTCTGTTAGCTTGGTTGAGGTTGAGCGTGAAGAGTTTAGCCGACCTATGATGACCACGGCGAACTTGCTTGGGTTCTCGCGGAACCGCTCCACGGCTTCGAGCCCGTTGCTCGCGGTCTCACAACTCCAGCCTTCCTTTGTCACGAAGGTCTTGAGGATCCTTAGATTCACCGGGTTGTCCTCGACGAGTAGTGCGTATGGTTGGTGATGCGTCGGAGCGCTCTCCCCGTCCGGCATAGGATGGTGTTCCAAGTGTGGGCTTCCAACGGAGCTTCCCAAGTCTCCACTATCCTGGCTTCTAACTGTATCCGTGGTAGGTCGTTTGCTAATCTTCATCCTGTCCCTCGGCGCGTCTCTTGTGTCGATGTCTAGAGGCAGATGCGAGGATTCCGGCATTTCGACCCAGCGGGTCCCTTCTTCGCGGTGGGTATCTTCGCCATGGAGTTGGCGAATACATAGCTCCAATGTTTTTGCGAGCTTGCGCGGCCCGCAGGGCTGGCTGATGAACTCAACAATAGAGTCCCGGTCGCGTTTTAAGGCCATTGTGCGCGCGAACATATTATGCGCGATCTCCGGAGACTGACAGATGACAATGAGGGGTGATATGCCATTTAGGTCGTGGAGGTTGAACTGCTGGTTTTCTTCGGCATCTGGTCCGTCTAGATCAGTGTGGACCATGAGGTAAAAGTCGCAGGGAGTGCGGTTGCCATGCAAAGATGCTGTTTTGACGGTGAGATGGAACCAGTCCTCACACACGCGCTTTAACGCGTTGTACAGCGTGACATCACGATCTGAAGAGGCCGAAGAGCCGAATCCCAGCAAGCCAATGGTTTTCCCGCTCCCCTCTTTCCGTAAGAGGCTATACGCCGCGTTCGAAGAAGACCCGTCGGAAGTGTCTGGTAGAGAGGCAAGTTTGAGCGGCACCTGAATGGATATTTCGGTACCGCGATCCTTCTCCGAATTGACTTCGATCGAGCCGTCAAGCGAGCGAAGTATCTTTTGCACAATGCTTAGTCCGAGTCCGCTACCAGGAGCAAGTGTATCTTCTTGCGAGAACGGAGCGAACAACCCATTTCGTAAGAAATTTGTGCCGATGCCTTGCCCGGTGTCTTTAACAGTGAGTGTGACGAGATACATGTCGTTAGGTTCCGGTGAGCCGTCGGAATCCTTCCTCTCCGGGCAAGATGCTTCGGTTGCCGTCAACCGCAGGTAAATGTATCCGTGCGTGGTGTATTTCAGTGCATTGCTAAAAACGTTCATCAAGATGCGGCGCCAGCACCCGGCCTGGGTGTAAAATTTCCACTCGGCTGCCTCCTGGATGTCAAATATGATGGTCACTTGCTTTGGCTGATGGGTAGCTTGCGAAGCCTCTGCATTACCATGTCGATGCTGGGCGCGAGGGTGATGATAAAAGCTGTGGCCGGCAAAAACACTCTCCGCGACTTCCTCGAGTACAGAGTCTAGCTGAACATCCTCGAACGCGTTCTCAATGCTGCTTGGAGGAGTGCGCTCGAGATTTGCTTGCTCCTGAGCTGAGGCTTCGCGGACGGTACTGCGTCGGTGCTGCTTCTCCTTCTTCTTCTTCTTCTTCAGCTTAGGGTCTTGCTTGAACTTGTCAATATAGGTAAAATCGAGCAAATGGTTGATGGTGTCGAGTAATGTTCGGCCACAGGACTCAATGGTATGAACCATGCCCTGTTGCAGCGCGTTCATAGCAGTGTCACCCAAGATATCTGCAGTTCCAAGAATGCCGTGCAGCGGACTTCGCAGTTCATGCGATATGCTGGTGACGAGGTTCGTCTTTGCCTTTTCTGCCATTTCCACGTCTAGCATATGTACCTCAGCCATGACACTGTTGCTGAATGCTCGGAGATAGGCAAGTTCATTCTCAGCCGTAAAGACACGTTTGGGAGTATTTGTCCAGACAAAGACCCCGGAGAGCCATCTCGATCTGTGCGTATCCCATAGAGGAAGGAAGATGATACTACGCGCACCTCCAAATGCCTTGCTTAAGTCGTCTGCATCCTGCTTGTGCCGTCGCCGTGGCCTTTTGCCGCTACCCTCGCTTCCTTGTGTCCCGGCACTGGTGCTGCTATCGTCGGATAACGAGCCGTCTTGCGTATAGTTGAAAATTTTCCCATGCGGGTACCGGTTCATCATTGCCATGAGAACACTCTCTCGTACTGCATAGTTATTCGATGTCGCACGACGGTCGCAGTCATTCCTGGTGGAAGACTGGGTGGTGGAATAGCCCAGAGTGCGGCAGGTGGTGGGATTCTCCTCGGAATTCGGAGGGAGAAAACTGGGGGTGGGTAGAGACGCACTGTCGCCGCTGCCCGTGTTCGTGCTGTCTTCACTGCTCGACCTTGTCCTCTCCTCAGTCGTTTCGTACCCGACGAGACCGCCAAAAGACTCAATCCTCGCATCAAGGAAAACGACACCCTCCACTTCAATAGACTCACGGATCAAATTAGCTGCCCGGAAGAATATCCGCTGCAGCGCAGCCGGAGTGGTGTCGTCAGGCAGTTTAGCATCGGAATCCGAGGATCGATATGTTGCCTTGACTTTGTGGCGCTTGTTCGACTCCTCGTCTTTGGAAAACGCTACATTTTCCATTGGACGATGTGTAAGCTGCCACATTTGAGTCTGTGTTTCCTGGAGATCCTGCTCGTTTTTGTTTAACTGTCCCTCAACCAGATCCCTCATCCACGGGCTGTCAGCCTCCTCCTGCTGCTCCTCCTCCTCCAGCCAGGAATCACGGAGCGTGGTCTTGCCTTCCACAAAGCTGCCAAGACCAAAAATCATCCGCTTGGCCTGGCTGTTTAGGTGTTTCGACCGTACGGTATCCAAGTGCTCCATCACCGTCGCCGCCATGTGCTTCATAAAGTCTATTGACGATGGGTCCATTTCGGATCGTCGAGGCTGCGTTTCAAATATTCCGAATGATCCTATCGTACTCCCTCGAGGTGTCACTATTGGCACTACCACACAAGACCGCGCGTTGAGAAGCCTGTTGACCAGACTGTGTTTCTTTATGTATTGGCTGGTATGTGCGTCTGGTATGACTAGCGCTCCCCGAACTATCGCCGGGTCATCCGATGGCTCTGAAAGAGGTAACTCGGCAACCTCGATGCATACGCCACTGCCTATAGGCAATATGCAACATCCTAGTCGTATTTCGTCGTCCGTTGGCGATCCCGTAGCTTCGGCGAGGATGTATTGGTGCGTGGGTCCAAACAGCGAGATGATTGCCCGCTCCGCGCCGAGCCGCATGGCCGCCAGCTGAGCCAATGATGTCAAGACATGGTCTCGCGACGGTGTTGGAACGAATTTTTCCCGACCGTACTCGTCAAGGGGGGCAAAGGGAAACGAAGCGTGGCCACGTGGGAGATATCTTGGTGAGTTAGCAGGTTCGCTCAACAAAGCAGTGCTGCACTTTTTGCTGACCTGTAGAACTCTCGCTCCTTTGACACGCTGAAACACGCCAGTTCCTTGGGTTGACTGTCTAAAGTCATGTTATCGCTCGCGTGTTATGTCTTTGAGGATCATCACAGGTTCTGGTACCACAGCGCAGCCGCGGGTTGGACTTCGTGCGGACTTTTAAACTGCGCGGTCTGGGTGTGAGCGGATGATATCATTCTGCTCCCCCGACGTCATCGCGGTTCCTGACGCGCCAAGATCTGCAGAGGCTTAAATCGGCTCTTTCCCGCCCAACGAACACAGGAATTAGGACGCCACTGACATCTCTGTGCGCTCCATGATATTGCGGCCCACCCACCGCTTCCGCTTATGGGTGCGCCCAATACCCGTCATCCCTAAACCCCCGTCTTTTGTATGGCGTCTTCATACACAAGATACATAGCTATTCCATATAGATTATTCGGTCTAGATATATATCAACACTTTGTTTTTCTATGTTTAACTGGCTATATAGATAATTATCTATCTATTACTCCTATTCATAGTTTTTAAAATAGAAATTAGATATAGTAGGATACAATACTCCCCCTTCTATTTTTCTCTTAATAAAAATTTACTATGAGGAGATTTTAAATCTATTATGACATCTTTAATCTTAGGCTAGAATTCCTAAAAACCTTATAGATTAAAGTTCATGCCTACTAGAATCTAGATAATGTTTTAAAAATAGGCATCCCTAGTAAAAATATCTCGATTTTAGAAGAATTCTAGAAATGTGAGGTACATACCTTTTGTATGGAAATGCCATACAAAAATAAGTATGGCGGGAATTTAGGGCGCACCCATAAGCGGAAGCGGTGGGTGGGCGGCAATATCATGGAGGGCACAGATATCCGTGCCCTTCGCTACGCTGCGACCCACCCCTACGCTCCCGCATATGGGTGCGCCACGCCCCCTTCATAGCCACTCGACCTTCATAGATTTTTGAATAAACCATTCAACCAGCCAATTCACCCACCACGACATGCCTAAATCTGCCGATTTCGACGAGAGCCGTATGGCTAAGGCCCTCGCAGTCGTAATGTGCCAAAAGAAACCGAATATCGCGAAAATTGCGCGTGAATTCGACGTGGTCTATTCAACCCTTGCCGGTCGCGTCAGAAAAGCGGGCTCGCCGCTCTCTACCTGGGCTTAAGGTGGCTTTAGGTGACAGTTCACCCACCTGGATATTCTTCACCCAGAGGGGTGAAGCCCTACTGTAAATGCGCAAAGGCACTTTTTAATGAAAGGAAGTTTTCGTGATGTGAGGACAGACACTACTTTGCTGCTTTCCATCCTGCTTCTTCTGTTTGCCCTCATCTCGTTCTGTTAGAATAGAATCCACTTGCAGGGTAGAAAGCCTGTCAGTCAGGTAAGGAAGAAAGCAACAAGTCCAAATTGGTCGCAAGACTGTTTCTTGAGGAACCCTCCAAAACACATAACAAATCACTCTATTTAAGCAGACGACCCCAAATATCTTCCTATGAGGTCCCTCAAGCCCACCTTATAATAAAATGCGTGAGACATGCGGAGAGAGATACATCAAATGTGATATCCGAGAATGGCCACAGGAGAGGGGAAGGTGACTAGCTAGCGTGGCACCGTAGGAGGTCCAAACTATTTAAAGAAAAAAAATCTCGAGCGAGCTACGAGGATCTAGCAGGGTGTCACTTCCTCAGTCTCACTCGCGTCTATGTGCCAGAAGATTACTCGCATCCAGGAAGCAGGAAGTAGAGCTCATAGTACAGTACAAGGGCATTGTTCTGAGGTCTTTATTCCTCCACTGTGGGCATTTCAGCAAAATAGGCTCTGAATATGCCAGCTCACATTGAAGGCGTCAAAGAGTATACCCGCAAACGGAAGACGGTATTCAGTACCAGTAAACCTCTTTGGGCGATAATCGGCTGATAACAGTCTAGAATGTTCTGAGAATTCTCTAGGCCTAGAGACCGGATCACTCAATAGGGCTAGAATTCAAATATTCTTAAACCAATGATGGTGTTACCCGCGCTTAACTCGAGCTTGCTACCGTACACTTACCCAGAATGCAAATTTGCATTCACGATACCAAACTCTTGTTAGTAGAACCTCTCAGGTTGACATGTTGTCAAGGTGTAATCTCGAATAATGCAGCATTGTTTCCACCATCAGGTTGGCTGGGTAGCCAGAGCCGTATAGCGTTTTCGCAGTGTCCTCTTAGGGCCGGGGCACCGTTTTCTTTCACAGGTTGGTTCTTGTTGACCAGTGCTTCAGAGGATGTTTGACTCTAGGTTGAAACCGCTAGACGTGACACCATCCGCTTTATCAAGCTCAGCATGAGCCTCTTCAACCTTACATTGATTCGATTCCGGTCTGGACTTGAACAGGTAAGTGTCCGTAGCAAGCTTGAACAGCCGCCAAGCTGCTTGTAGGAACACTAGATCCGCCACCAGGATAGACACTAGAAGGTTACCGGTCGACTTCAGTCGAGGGACTTGGCAGATATAACCCAGGCTAATAACGCTCGGAGTTGTTCCCAAGGGACCCGTCCCATTCTTTGCAGTGCCGTAATACATGTCGACCTCTGGGCCAGGGTCCGCATTGGCCTTATGCCGCTGGATTGTCGAGAAGTTTCTGGAGAAATATTCCAGGTCGTCGGCGTTGGTGAGAAGATTCGGCCCGGCCGCGATTTGTCCCAGGTCCGTCAATACAGTCGAGTATGCAGATTTGGCTAGGCTATCGGCTATGATCCATACGTCTGGATACACTCGGCCTTGATCTAGCTTGGAGACACTGGGATCTTCCCCTGGAGATAAAACCTCAAAATTTCCATAGCCAAGGTCGACTATGAAGCGATAGTCGATGTTGAAGAACTGTAGACTCTTGATGTCCCTGGCGATGCTATTGCCTGGGGTCATGTAGATGGTTCCTTTACGGATTCCAGGCTCGTCGTTATGTGTGGCATTAGCCCGAATATCTTGCATCGTTCGCGTGAGGTAGACGTAATAATTTGAAAGTACAGACTCTCCCCACCACAGGCTCGCCCGAGTGCTTTTGTCTCTTCCCAAAAAGTTGGTACCGAGGAACGTATACAGGTGTGACCAGGACATAGCCGCTGGTATATAGTCATATGCTTGGGTCAAGTTGAATTGTATGAGTCCACTTGGAGTATAGAAGCCACATAAGACGTAAGTTTGAACTACAGCGCCCCATTCAGAGAATCCGAACTGGGATGCCGTCCGATCAAGAGCCTCAAGATTTATTTCAATTGCTGTCACCGTGCAGTTTTCGAGAACGTTGTTGAAATAGGACATTGAAGGCAAAGCAGTACTATTCGTTCCATCCGATAGCTGCCAGACGGCTGTCAAGGTATAGGTCAACGAAGTCTGATTCGTAAACATCTGGCTGCCGACAGGTACGGTCGCAGGCTGGCAGGTTGGCCGCACCTTATCCGTGAAGTAAGAAGGCCAGCGACCTAGCCATCCGGCACTAGACATGGTGGAGTTAGGATCAGTCGATATTTGCACCACTAGATCATAGCCATTGGCGGCGAAGTTGAGGAGGCTGAACAAGGCCGCGAATGTCACCCCTCCGAGCACAGCAACCGGCGTAAACCAACGATAAGGGTAAGGCCGGGTAACATTATAAGAGAAGAATGACTCATGTATGGAGGGCATATTGGCTTGGAGTGAGATAACCGCCTGGGACGAGGTTCGATGAGCTGAAGTGTCATGATAGGAAGGAAAGGGGAGGAACTGGCTATAAGTCTGCGAGTTGTTAACACTGCACCTGATGACTCGATCCCTTTGACCTCGATAGGGTTTGCAGGGTTTGTCGTCTTCTTTGGCCCTGCATGAAGCAGGCCGGGGTTTTCCTGTCAGGACCAGGCCTTGTTCCTTTCCTTTTTGCTTTCTGTTCCCTTCTGCTTCTTCTTCTCTTAGTCGTCTTCGTCTTCCTGTTCCTAGATAGACCAATTGACTCAGTCTCCCTCTTCTCTTCTCCTTCCTGTGCCAGCAGTGCCGTGGGCGCAGTCAGCACCGTTAATGCGCAGCCTCGCGCCAGAACCCGTGCGCAATAAAAGGTACAGTGATAGAGCCGCTTTGCTGTTTCAAAATATGTGCCAAGACTGGCTAAAATTGCGCGCTTACTGCAGGCAGCAGCTTCAGCCACCTGGGAGGCGGTTAATTCACCACGGCTTGTTATATCATAAATTAACTCAAGCGTAGATTTAGCTATATTCGGTGCCATGATTCATTGCGCCGCCAGTGTGGTCAGTTGTCAACGAACAAGGGGATGGGAATATTCAGCGTGGACCACGGAGGCCGCCATGGCAACTCCCGCACGTATAGGACGCCGGATTACACTATCTTCTCTCTGCGTCTGCTGCTAGCTAAGCAAGACAGCAAACCCCTACGTGGCACTTGTACGTGAAGGAAGCAAGATCGTGTCGCTTGATTAGTGTGGACCATATATTCGGCGGTTACGGGAGAGGTTATACTAATTCTGTTCATTTTCATTCGGGCAATCTATTCGTTTCTGCACCTCTTCTTCAGTCAGAATCTTCACTGCGTCCTTAGAGAAGAGACAGCCAAGACCAGGCCTGACGGTCGTAGTAGCCACGGTAAATATATTTCCCAGAGTCAGCTTCGATCAAGATCAGTTCATGTCACCAAAAAAGCAAATAGAGGGGGAGGGAAAGGACACGAGCAGGGAGGGGGTGGGAGAGAGGGGGTGTATAGCCGAAAGGCCACGTTAGCGCTTCAGGGGCCTTTAGGGCCTGAAGTGGCTGAAGAGTGAAGCGGCAAGGGTACCCAACGAACGAGTCACAAAAAACATTCAAACAAAAACAAAACACACAACAGCCAAAAGTATGGCTGACCTCACCTAGCGCCCATAGTTCGGTGCTGGGCGACTCGCCGCTTTGCCCAGGCGTGCTTCAGTCTGCTTCAGTCTGCTTCAGGCGGCAGTTCACCCACCTGAATATTCTTCACCCGAAGACCGCCTAAGGTGCAGGGCACACTGGCAAAAGGTGCATTTGCACGTTTTGGCACAGGGAAAGATTTCGCGAGCGGCTGACATATAGAGCGACGATAGATGAGTTATAAGTACGCGCTAGGAGCGCCAGCAACGGTCTCCAACCATTCTGTCTCCCCTCTCACCTCGTCCCGCCGGCCAAACGATCAATATCTACCCTCACAATGACCAAGAGCAAGGACCAAGCCGCCAGTTTTGTCTCCGTCATGGATTTCAGTGAACACGACAACTCAGAAATCTTACGTGCCGTTCTCCTGAGGACCAAGGGAGACTACCAACGTGCACTTTGCATCTTTGATAAGTTATTGCCTCTCAAGAATGCTTTGTCTTCGCGTGGCCAGCTTCGTATGCCTCTAATTGCTTCCGTCAGATTCCTCTCACTACACCCGAGGAATTCCGATGAACAGCAATAGAATATCTACGAACAAACCCTTTTCTACTATCGTCGAAGGGTTATGCCACAGAGAGACATCCTCGCCGAATTGCTTCCAAGGAAAATTAGATTACGGCACCGAGATGGTCGGAATACCCTAGCAGCCCTAGAGTCTCTTTATAAGGAAACAGACTCTGCAGCTTATAGAAACTCTCTCCGACCTCAGAATGGAAAATGCTTATATAGAAAATCAATAGCAGAGTTCGTCTTTACTATTAGATAAATTATTTGTGAAAGCTAACGTTCTTTTCCATCTAGGCTCGTGGCTTATAGACGGTAGCTACACCTCTACCAGTGTTATAAAGCCCGTCAACAACTCGTCGATGAGATTAGATTTGCTGAAATGTGCTTCGAGTGTGATCAATGGTTTACTAAGTCTTATGAATAGGAGGATCATTACAGAGAGCATCTTGATCATCCAGAAGCAGTCCTTCGATGTAACCCGTTGATGTTCCGCAATACGCCCATCAAGGCTAGGTTTTGTCCATTCTGCTTAGGAAACAAGAAATTACCTCCATCTAAAAGAATGGTTCAGTTTTTTATAAGCCTACCAGAATGGCATAACCACGTTGAAGCCCATTTGAGCCAATTGAATAGCAACTTCAAGTGTGAGCATTCTGGTTGCTTGGTGGATTTTGGAAGCACGGAGGAATTGATATATCACCTTATTGATACCTACTGCTGGCGGCCTCGACCTGAATCTCCTAAAAAGAGGAAGTTAAAGCTTGAGGACACTCCTTGACTGGGCACTCACTGAGAATTTTTGTTCCTGAAGATGCTAGGATTGCTTCCTTGTCTTGATTTGCTCTTGCTATCTGTTCCGCGAATTACTTGGGGTTCTGGCAGACTAGAAGATTTGAACTGACCTATTATTTCGAATTTGCCTCTGTTTATATTAGCTAAGATGTAGCTCTGCCGCTACTTACCTACCACCCTAGACCCTATACATTTGTTATCTTACAAACGGACCAATCAATTACCTCATTACCTGTCTGTTGGGACATATCCTCCCGTCAGAACAAACTCACGGTGACTTACTGCTAGCGACTGATAGATTACATTCCTTGCTTGGTGTACGCATTCTTGCGCTGGACTGCGGCCCCGGTGTTGTGACCACGGAGGGCCGGCGGTGGGATCTAGGGGTGTTTTCCAAATAGACTGATCATCTACGTCTATCTACATGAATCAATTGACTTTTGCTTTGGAAGCAAAACACTGTCAACTTAACTGTGTACACAGTACCTAACTGGTGATATCAACACTGTCTACTAAAAGCCCCCCAACGGCCTGCTAGCTACGAGGGTCAGTTTTCTCCTTGCGAGCAGTCCGTGCGAAACTACCTCTCAAAAGTATATAATAAAGGCGAGTTTCTCTTCTATATCGTAGACTTGATCCAATCAGTACGCCGTTGTTCTGTGCCTTTACGGGAAGGTTTGGCATTAAAACAAGAGAAGGCTCTCAGGATTTATATATGTTGATATAGAAGCGTCACGGTAATCATACAGGGCGCACATGCAACTCCAATATCAACGGTTCTCATCAACAGGTTGACAGGAATCAGACGCTTGCAGCAATTCTGTGTTTGTTTGGCATTTGAGCAGGTACATGAGGTCTATTATTTTCTGGGAATGAAGTTACAAGAGTTTAGAAATATAACTGATTTCGAAAACTACTGTAGGTCGTTGCATCCAGGATTGTCAGACAACAATGAACCCAGAAAGCAAATGCCCCGAGAGGCGAAAATATGAACAGTAATTGAACGGCCATGCAAATTCAATCAGAGACCCGCTGTGATACTTCTGCATTTACTAGCAGTGCTTGCCTATTCCCTCAGAGTGAAGCTCGAGGTCGACGAACCACTAGAGCAAGAGATCACTAATTCGCTCCTCAGCCTCAACATTTTGGAAAGGAATCATGCTCAGAAGCTCTGTCGTATATGTGGCTGCCGTCATTGCCGCGTATCCTTGCCACTCCTTGCCTTTATGGGAGTCCGAGTAGTCGCATATCCCGCGAATGACCAGACACGGAAAATGGTTCATAAGCACCGCCGTTTCCATTTCAAAGCATAGAACATCCATCTCAGCTGCAAGATTAACCCGAACCGAAGCGTCCTTCATCAACTGGTTTGCGGAAGCAATTAAACAATAGTGAATTTTTGGTTATCCTCGTCTTCTTTCCGTTCGGGTGGTATGAGGCTCTTGCGTAGTTTGCTTCACTGTTTGAAGCATGAATGACTTCACTTCTATATAGCCGGTCGGTACCTTGGTCCGGTCGTTTGAACTTCTGTTGTAGTCTTGGATACTTCTTGAGAATTTATCGATTTTCTCTTTAATTTGATGACCTTCAAGTTCATGTTCCACCTGAAGCATAGATACCGCATTACTTAGGACTCTCGGCGGCTGATCTAAAAACCTGGTAAATTGAAAGATCTGACCTTGTACGGTTTTGTCGGAGTCGTATTGAAACACGCCACCTTTCGCTTTGCCAGGAGTACTCACGACAATATCGCCTAGGCGGATATCATACTTGGCACTTGGCGCACTGCCACCAATGCCTACCATCAGACCGATTCTGATGTTAGGAAAGCTGTGCTGCATATCTGCAGCAAGGCTTGCTCTAGATGACGACCCATACTTGCTATTGGGAAATCAAGCGACGATGACGTTAGTCATCCCAACCCTGCCTAGAGTATAATTTTTCTTCTCATCGGGGGTCATATGTTCTGGACCTTCGTGTCTTTCGTCAAGAAAGGCTAGCGCAGCAACATAGCCAGTGCTGTTGGCACACATCCAGCCAACATTATAGTGGCTAGGATCAAATACTCTCACCACCGAAGTGTTGTGGGGTGAGGTCAAACTCTAACGTCCTTGGGAGGATGTATCTACACACTGGCCTTCAGTGGAACTCGATCGGTTTTGTTGTTGCGTTTCTTTGGCGATGTGGACCAGAGCCTGGATTAGATGAGCGGTCTTTTGATCATTGTGGTTATCCATGAAGTATTTTTCAGCTTCTTCCAGTATCTTATCCTTCCTTGTCTTGATATTCATAGTCGTATCCCGTATTCTTTGTCTCCTCTCCTCTATCATTTGATCTTTCAGATGGTCGGTCGCGTGTCGTTCGCTCTCCCGGGATTCAGCACCTGCACATTGCTTGCGCGCCGCTCGTACCATGTCTCCTAGGTAATGATGCCTTTAGAGAGCACGACCTTGATTTAATCGGGGTTCGGGCGAGATCTGTGGTGACACTGCACGTACAGAAGTCCAGGACTCCATCAACGAAACCACACACGCTCGCGCTCGTCCATGAAGTGTAGGTCGCAGTAGCACCGTAAGTATCATCGTACCCTGTGCGACGGCGCAATTCACCCGCGGAGTCATCGACAGCCGGAGTTGCTTCGGGGAGATTTGGCTGCAGAGCATCATGGGCAGCGGCAGCGGCAGTGGCAGCAGCCAATGGAGTCGGGAATGGTAGGGCTCGCGTGAACGGCGGCAGCGAGAGCATATATAGCCCAACCGACCGTTTATGGGCCATCGTGACAGCGAAGGATTGGCAAAAAGGGTCCTTCAGACCCGCGCGATATAGCGCCCACAGACCCTATATGTACTCCGTTCCTGGGGAACTACTACTAGACCGAACCAGCACCCCTCCTGCTCTCCGGTCCACGGAGCTCCTCCTTCTCCCCTCGTCACGTCGACCGTTTGCTTGTTTGGCGTGCTGCGGACAGACTTTGTACATACGAGCCTCCAGGAGCCAAGACTCGGTCCGCTCCACTCTTCGCTAAGCCGTGACTGGCGACACTTATTATCCCAGCGTGAGCCTATGGCTGGGCTCTCTCGGGACATCCTCTCAAACACGAGGGAGGGTGGAATTTGCATTGGATGGGTCTTATGGGTGTGTATTGCCGAAGCGCAGGGCCCGGGCGCTGTGACCGCTTCATTTCCATGAGTTGATCGGCGATTTTCCGCGATACGGAGCCATGAATGGGCGCTTTGCGAGGGTTTGATCGATCGTGCACTACGGAGTCGAATCCACGATTTGGCCGGTTCAAGGTCCGATGGCCCTGACCCACTCCGTGTCTTCGGCGGTTCCGCCGATGATCGTCTCACTAGGGCGTCGGGAATGAGAAACGAGGAGCGAGGAGACCGCTTTGGTCCGATGCGGCGCGCACGCGGGCCTGTCATTTGTGCTGGCTTTGTTCCGAATCCGACGTACGAGGCTGTTGTAGCTGAGCTGAGGGAGACTGGCATGGCGCATTTGCATGATTCAAGCACATCCAATCAGACTGGTCACACACCTGTGATTTGATTCCCTCTCGTTTATACCCAATGAGGTACCAGAAACTTTATTTTACACCTGATGACTCGATCCCTTTGACCTCGAGGGTTTGCAGGGTTTGTCGTCTTCTTTGGCCCTGCATGAAGCAGGCCGGGGTTTTCCTGTCAGGACCAGGCCTTGTTCCTTTCCTTTGTGCTTCAGGGCCTTATAGACCCTGTTCTGTTCCCTTTTGCTTCTTCTTCTTCGTCTTCTCCTAGTCGTCTTCGTCTTCATGTTCTAGATAGACCAATTTGACTCAGTCTCCCTCTCTCTCTCTTCGCTTCCTGTGCCAGCAGTGCCGTGGGCGCTGTTAACACTACATCAGCGTCAGTTATCAAAATTCCCTACTAATGCGAGTCAGGAACTTCCTGATAGAGTGTCCCAACAGGTATCAATCTATGTTCCTGGAGTGCCCCGCCGCTCAACATAATTGGAACGCTGCCCCAGTCCTTGTCTCGTTCACGACCGACGTGGTCGGCGATTCCATGCCCTCCCCTTGACGCGCCCACAACTAACATTCGAGCATCCGTATAATCAAATGCCGGGAGCGCTCTCCATCCTCGCATGCGCACAGCTTCGACCGTCACCAGAATGACAATCACGATGATGATGACGGCACTTGTGATGATATAGCCCGGCGATCCGGCGCGAATGGCCTCGGCATTCACAAAAGCTCGTGCAGGAACGGTCAGTCCACCGACTACCAACTGGGCCGATGCGTAGGCCACGAGCATGTCGTCGACAAGGGAAATGACTGTGTTCTCGGCTCCTTCCAGGTTGACTTCTGATTGCGATATTGATTTGGTTGTGCTCGTGTTGTTTTTGATCAAGGTTCCGTAGTCACCAATACTAGCATTGAAGACATCTCCAACAGTGGAGCGGTAGAAACTTGTCTGGTCGGCGGAGATCAGCGCCAATTGACGCATCACCACGTGAGTGATATTGCCGTAGGGATCAAGGTCTGTTATAGTAGGTCCAGAAGGGCCGGGAGCTGTCATCTTGTGGACCGTGATTTTCGCTCGCTGACATTGACAGTGATATTGAATTGTGTGGTAGTAAAAGTCACAGCGCACTGCATCCTGTCCAGATTTTTGTAGTAGTTTCCCGCCGCTATAGCCAAATATCGCTTTGTTGACCATATTACAGGGTCACGCGAAACGGCAAGTGCCACAATCGCATCCGTGCCGAAACCCACGTAGTCGGTATACTCTCCGCTTCCGCTCGCACTGTCAGGGAGATACCCCTTTGCAGGATAGACATTGCTACTACCCTCCTGGTCGATAGCATATCGGGAGCTGCTGTTGTAAATACAGGAAACAGAAGGGGCGAGAGCCGTCTCACTGTAGGTATAGTTGATTGCATGCCGGATATTGAGTGCAGACTGATCTGTGAGGCCGATACTTGAGCCCGCTCCGTATGATCGCCCGTGGTATTGAAACCGTGTATTATCCAGCTTATTGTGATTGCGGAAGCCGCCGTCAAGCGAGGATGCTGAATTGGCCGAGCCCAGCAGACTCCCAAGAAGGCCCATGCCAACAGAATATGTGAAGTAACCCTTGCTATTACGAACGGAGGGGCCCGTCCGATCGATCTGGCTTGGGTATTCTTTGATCAGGCTGATATTGGACCAGTGAGGCACTTGAATGATGGTGTTTTGGGTGCTCAGAGTATTCACCGGGGTCAGGGCACCAGTCCATACGGCCGTCAGAACGGTATGCAAATTCGCGACCAGGACTGTCATGATGATCATCCAGATAGGCAAATTCCAATCGGCTGCTGGAATCGAAAGTGCCGACCAGAAGCCAAGCATATCTAGCGACACGGGAGCTCTTTTGAATCGAATGCGAGTTGCCAGATTGATGAGGCGACAAATCGCAAAGACCTCGATGGCTGCTAGGGTGGCGGAAACGATCTGGACCGCTGTTTGAACGGATGATCGGTATTGATTCACCAAGTTGTACATATTTTCTGGAAAGAGGCAGTTGTGGGTATCGCTGTAGAGTAGTAGGATGCTCAGGGCCAGTGGAATCAGAAGCAAGAGGAACATAATACTGAATCCAAGACGCTCGCCACTGGTATCAGCACATTCGCATCTTTTCTTTGGGTGGTTATCCTCTTGAGCGGTGGTCGGTAAACCGAAGAGTAGGCCGTTCTCATCATCGGGATTGCATTGCTTAGATCGTAATTCGACATGCATAGTTAGTTGAGATTCGCTAATTAAGCACGTCCATATAGTGACACCCGAAGCAGAAGGTCAAGAGTCCGAACAGTAGAACAAACTTAATTGCAAATAGGGGGAGAGTTTAATAGTTAAACCAACGAGGTGTGCATTGGTGCGAGACCCTGGGAAAGGCGGCTATGCGCAGGTGCCAAGAGGCCAGGTCATGTACAATACTAGCAACTAACCAATCTTGAGGCTTAAACGCGATCCTTCATGCAGAAACGAAGCCGCCGAGTGTTTCATGAAACTCGACATAATCTGAGAATATGCTGCAGAACTATTGGGTACTAACTGACTAGTGTGTAGCTCGTCTGCGACTAGTCTTTAGGTGGGTGTCGCCCGAGTGAAGAGTGGCTGAGTGCTGCTTTAGCGCCGCGCGACCTAAGTTACTTGAGGTGGGCGCGTACATGATAAATAGGAAATCCTTGCCGTGGGGTAACCGCCCCACTGACCCTGAGCGCTTCCAAGATGTCCCTGCTGGTTGATTTTGTTTGGGCCTTCGCAGGGCTCTGTGCAAGGCCAGTCGAAGCTCTCCCGCTTAGCATCATCAGCGACGAAAGAACATATAGAGCCCCAAATGGCACTCCGGGCACTTGAGGACAGCACACGCTATGGTTGAGTTGAGTAATATCTTCTGAATAACGTAACTAGTCAGTTAGTTACTTAACTAGGGTTACTTAGTCAAATCCAGAATTCGATGAGCATATCTTCAACAGTAGTTTGATCCACACCGCATCTGGTTTAGTCGTGATCTCCGACTATTTTCCAAGCCACCGGACTACAAGCTTAGTATCTCTTTTAAACCTAGAGGTATCTTACCGTAAAGTACTCAGCAGCTTTCGTGTTGGTTCTGAGCGTATCGACGCACAAGACAAGAGTAGAATGAGAATATTACCCATAGACTTCAACCTCGTGAGTCAGTAGGGGTAGTGGGGATCGCGCCACGACTACAGCCACATACCCAGCCACATTTGTCAACCTCCTGCCTAGATTCACAAGTGGTGAGCGTGTCGTAAGGGTTGCCAAAGAATGCAGGGATCGGCGTACAGAGAGTTTCGCTCCCATAGCTCGAATTCTTCGGATAATGAGACGGTAATCGACATGATCCGAGGTTTGGGTCATCTCTAAATCCAGTCCCAGCCCTTCAAAGGCCCATGTCATCTTATGTGAGGATACTAGCTAACGTAATCAGCGGCCGAGCGGATCACCCCAAAACACCATACTAAATGCAATATTTCACAACTTCAGATTTCAGCACTCAAGGCTAATTATATGACCTTAGGGTACCTTGGTGTTAAATATATCATCCAAGGTAATTTATGAGCTCGAGAAATATTTTAAGGCGTGATAATGCAGATATATATATCGACATCGCTCGATCGGAGCGTATTTTTAGTAATGCAGGTAAAGAATCAATCTCTGAATATATAAGTCATGCTATACTAATTCTTATACTAAGAGATCATAGCGTACTTAAATCAATAAAGAGCATCTTCCCGTTGTTAATGTATCATGACTTGAAAAATCGCAATTAATATGGTGTTTTTGGGGTGATCCGCTCGGTTGTGAGATCCGCTCGGCTGTGGATTACGTTATCGACAACGACAATGCTGACAAATAAGATTGCAAAGGGAAGATAATCCATGGTACGAAAGAATGACAATCACCAACCGAGTTATTACTGTCTGAAGCACGGGTATGGCCTTCGAGGGGGTGAAAAGCGACCGCGTTTGTATAAATTAGTGTGAACGAACGCTGCGTGCGTGGTGAAGGAAAGAACATGGGTAATGAGTGACCTTACCAGATTGCCAGGCCTCGCTCTACTCTGTTCGAACTGTTTGCAGAGAATATTCCATCTGGACGGTTCTTATCCCTCTTAGCGCCTCATCTGACATCAGAATCTTCACGAAGACATAGCCAAGACCAGTCCAGACAGTGGTCGTCGCGATGGTGTATCTATTTTTCCGCGTCAGCTGGTCAGCTCCGATAAGGGTCAATTTCCTGAAGAAAAGCAATGGCGAGGAGGGCCGCGTCGGGGGTGGAAGGACAGTCCGTGAGAGGGGGAAGGTTTAGCCGAGGGGCCACGTTAGCGCTTCAGGGGTATTCAGGGCATTCGGGTGAAGAACAGAGGGGCTTCACGGCGCTCAGGTGAAGGAATCTGAAGGGCCTGAAGAAGTAAAGCGACGAGGGTACTTCAAAGGGTCGCTAAAAAAAACGAAAAACATACAACAGCCAGGATTCGCATGTGGTCACCCACCATACTACTAACTGGCCGGCGTGTGGCTTAAGTACGGCTGAGCGGACGGGAAGCCCTGTTCTCCACACCCTATGGTCGTATGTACAGTACTACCTTTGGAAGCGAGTTATATAGCGGATAAGTAGTACACCAATCCACATGCTGCTTGACATCGTGCTTCAAGCGAGCGAATGAAAAAGACCGGCGAAATCAGATAAAGGCCATATGCAGGTCAACAGTCCACTTGGCTCATCAAACCTCCACTTTCACGGGGATTTCGTTGTGACTCAGGCTGTTTTTATCCGACGCCAAAAGGCTTATCAATCGGGCATCCACCGCTTCGGGGCTTGGCATTGAGACCCAAAAGAGTAACTCCGAGCCCGGACAACTTCCTATCTTGTGTTAACCCCAGTAGGCGTTGCATAGAAAGTCGAACTTTCGCCCTCTACAGCGCAGCATATCTTCAAACAATCTCTGCTTCTAAATTCTGTTATCTCAAAGCTCTCGGGTTATAGTAACTGGATCATTCAGTGTTATTTGTGAGATTCTCGGCCCAAAAAGGTTATTAACGTGATTCACAAGCGAGCGGATCACCTACCCCCATTGCAAAATTTCAAAATTGATTATCTTAACCAACACCTATTAATTTAACTAGATAATTCGATTTTTACATGAAGTAATCCTATGCCCTGTCACTCCACATCCACTGCAGGTAGGCGGAGCCCTCCTGGCCGGTTGAATCGGCTGATTAGGCAGATCGACCTCCTTCTACGATACTACCTTATCAGCTTCTACTAGCTGAATTGGCTGCTGAGCTAGCTGTAGGCCCTCTTCGATTGTTAGGCCCCCTTCGTGTGTAATCCGTCTAGTCGATCGAGTGCGCTTTTGGCGTTTCTTTTTATTTGATACGCGTAGATCGGCGTTCTCCTTCAGTAATAGCGCAGTGTGGTGTAACGCTCGATAGTAGCCCTTAAGAATCTGATCAACCACTAATTTTAACAGGCTTAGAGGGCTTTTTGACCGCCGATCTATTAGATCTTTCATCATTTTAGCCTGCTTTTGTAGCTAGGCTACTGTTTTAGGCATTTCTAGTGTGAATTCGCTAGATCTGCTGCTTAGTCGGCTCAATAGTGGTGAAGGCGTTCGGAGGGAAATATTTAGCTTGTAAAGCACTCTGTCAGCATCAACTAGTACGATACCAGTAGCTACAAAGCTGCTTTAAACGATATTCGGCTAAAAAGCTTCTGCCCTTGCGCGTAGATAGTCTGTAAGAAAATCAAGCTTATCGATGTGATTATAGCTAGTACGGGCTAAATCGCTCACAAAGCAACCGTAGGTACGCTTTAGCACTATAAAGCACCTAACATTAAGCGGTTGAAGTAAGTGAGACGAATACGAAGGTATGCAGAGTGGTATAATATCATTTTCGGCACAGATTCGATCGAATTGAGGTGTAAGATAACTACTGTGCCCGTCAAGGATTAATAGCCGAAATCGCCCTCGTACACGCGAATTAGTGTATAGAATAAAGATCTTTTGGAGCTAGCTGTGAAAGGCTGAAGCAAGACTTAGATTCAATCTAACTAGGCCAACATGCTGTTTACAAAAAGCTTGGAGAAGAGAAGGAGTGGATCAAGCGGAACAACAATAGAAGTAAGCAGACAGGGCGGTGGCAGAACGGAACGTGCGGGGAAGGCTATGTGGCAGGGCCACATAGTAAGAAGCGGGTCTAACCCGTGACATTACCCCCTCCTAGGTCAGAAGGGTGATCTGAGTCGTAACCGTCTGAATTCCAAAACGGCGACGAATCGGGGTCGTTTCGGGACTGGTCCGTTGCTGAATCTAAACTGAGGGATTTAGACCGTTTATTCGCGGCAAGTCGAAAAGGACACGCAGATATCCAGTGACTACATGCACCGCAGTAGTAGCAAAGCCCGTGCTTCGCGCGCTCGGCGATATTAGCGGGGTTATTAAAGCCTAGTGGGAGTGGCGGTTTTGATAGGCGCACGCGGTTTGATTTCACTCGAACTGGTGATGATTGGGCGGCGTTTATACGAACTGGGTCAAGGTCCATTAGGTCTAGCTGGCTTTGGCGAGTCTGAGTCTGGCGAGTTTGGTTCTGGCTAGTCTGGTTCTGGCTAGTCTGGTTCTGGCTAGTCTGGTTCTGGCTAGTCTGGTTCTGGCGTTGGGTGACCGGGCGCTGCTGGCGGCGGTCATGACGTTGGAGTAGTTCTATATAATCATCGTATTCGAGATCGAATAGAGTGTCATACGACTGCTCAAGAATCTGGCGTAACGCGGGGCGTAGTCCGCGGTGTAGCGTAATCGTACGAAGTAGATCCTGCTGGTGAACCTTAGCTTCGTGCGATAGACGTTCGAATCGGGCGAGGTAGGCAACTAGGCTTTCGTCGTCTTTCTGGCGGATATTGGCGAATCGGAGAACTGCATCTTGTTTCTCACGAGGATTATGACAAAGACGTTCGAAATACTGGAAGACTGCTTCGGGTGTCGGGTTGGTTTCGCGAAGATGTAAGACTGAGGCTTGCTGGGGTGGCTCAAGGCGATCGTATACGTAGTCGAATGCTTGTTGACCGGCTAAGCCGTCCGACCGTAGCTTTGCTTGAACAGCTGGAAGCCACGTCTTTAGACTAAATGGTCGGCCGTCGAATCTAGGCGGGTCTGGTAGTCTGAAATGCGAGCGAGTAGGCGCGAGGGTCTCTAGCTGGCGTTGCTGGTCGAC